TGGGGAGAAACCCTATGTATGTAAGCAATGTGGGAAATCTTTCAGAAAAAAATGTTAGCTTGCAAAGACATCATAGAATTCACACTGGGGAGAAACCGTATGTATGTAAGCAATTGGGAAATGTTTCAGAGAATATGGTAGCTTGAAAAGACATCGCAGAACGCACACTGGGGAGAAACCCTATATATGTAAGCAGTGTGGGAAAGCATTCAGCCCACACAGTAACTGTCAAAGTCATGAAATAATTCACAATAAGAAGACACCCTATGTATGTAAGCAATGTGGGAAATCATTCAGCCAAAATGGTAACCTTCATGTACATGAAAGAATTCACACTGGGTAGAAACCCTATGTATGTAAGCAATGTGGGAGATCTTTCAGTCATAATAGTACTTTGCAAAGACATCACAGAATTCACACTGGGGAGAAACCCTGTGAATGTAAGCAATGTGGGAAATCTTTCTGTCGAAATGGCAGACTTCTTGTACATGAAAGAATTCACACTGGGGAGAAATCTTATGGATGTGAAATATGTGGAAAAAGTTTGCTCATAAATCCATATTTTTTACACATTTTTGTACCACGTATTTTTTCTCTCTTGTGGGTATTTTCTCAATTAATCACTCCCTCACTTGATATCATTTCTTATATGCTTATCATAGGCAAGTCCCTGGATATCCCCCGGAGACAGGCCACAAGCAGAGCTAGACATCATTCCTCTGCTCAAGAGAAGCTGCACCCTTTGAGTCACATGACCCAGCCCATGCATCGCATGCTCCTGGCTCCAGGTATTGGCCCAGTATGGCACTTATTCAAAGACAGTCCAGTCAGACCCCACAAAGTCTTGCACAAGCTTCAGAATGCTGGAAACCTTTTTCCACCCTCTTCTGTATCCTCAGCATAAACAAGAAAGCCTGCTATGTACAAGAACCTCAATATATGTTTTTGAAATAATTCCATGAGTTCTGTTTGAGATGTGGAGAAACAACCTACCTCTTTCATGCTAAAGCTTCCATCTTATCACCAGATGCAGCCTATGATGGAATCAACAGACTGTGAACCAAACAGCACAGAGAGACACATGATTACATCGTGTGAGCTTGAAATCTGAAGTCTGAAGCCTGGTCTGAGTCTGAAGCCAGGGTTGCCCTTGTGAAGAAAGGTGGTCCCTCTTGGTGGAAATGGAAAGGCAACCCCAAGTCCTTGGCAGAGGGGTGCTGGCTGATCTTGAGTCTCCCTTTATGGCACATACAACTGTACAAATTGCACAAGGAGGCCCTGACTGTGAATGTTAAACTAACTGGTGGTGTGATTATCATACAGAACACTCACCACTGCTCTCTAGACAGAAGCAGAGGGATGGAAGAAAGAAAGGCAGAAAGGCAGGGTTTGCCTTTTGCATTGCCTTCACGTCATAATATAGCAAACTGCACCAGACAATTGCTACAAGACCTACTTGCACGAAGAATACACAGACCCCAAAATCCTTAGCTCTGCCCAAGAACACAGGCCGTCATTATGTCATCGCCTGATGCCAGCATTTCCTCTGCTGTCACATATGAGGATAGATGGGGCTCTCTGTGCAAACGTTGTAACCTGCAGCGACAGAGGCACTTTCTGCAGGATTACTTGAACTCAGGGTCATGTTTACACTATAAATATGTAAATGTGCTGTGTAAATATTTATGCTTGTTTCATTTAAAAAGAAACAGAAAAGAATGAGGCTTAATATGAGCAAACAGCTTTGCTACTCTGGGGTGGTTGAGATAAATAGCTTCAGCATCTTTTGTGAGTTTCAAGAAATGCAGGATCTCAAATCCTAACCCAGATCTGCTGGGCCCTCATCTCCACTTACCAAAGTCAGCCAGTGACTCCAATGCACATCACGGTTGAAGAAGCATTGCTGTAAGATCCTCTGAGCAAGAGTAGTTGGTGGTAATACCATTCTGAGTAGCAGTCCTACTTTATAAGGAAAAACTCACCACCATCACAGTAAACCAGTAGGCATGTCAGGAAAAGAAAGTCCCTGTGCTCAGAGGAGGAAAAGCTGAGGGGTACAGTGGTGGGAACTGAGGGAAGTCTCCTCCGTTTCCTGAAATAGGAATCAATTTTATCAACTGAGGGAGAGGTTGGAGAATATTAGAAGTAAGGAAAGAGAAGACAGGTTTGGAAGAGGCTGTGCAGAAGACAGAACAGACCAGGAAACACCTGCTGGCCAAGCAGTGCTGCATCCACCTGTGCACACCTCAGCACTTTGCTTTCCTCCAGCCATGTTCAGCTGCAAGCCAGAGACAAGGAGAGCACTGAGGGCTGTGCCTAACAAAGCTTGGGGGGTTTGCCAGGCACTTGAAATGAAGTAAAACAGAGAATTTGTTGAGGCTGCATGCAAGGCAGTGATTTATTGAAGGATCATGGAATCAGCGAGATAAAAAGGACATGAGGACTCAAACAAAATAACAGGCTGGGAAAAAGTAATAGGGTCACTGGATTATGGATCTCTGAAGTAAGCAAGCACTGAGGTCAGGGCACTGAAAGAATTAAACTAGAAAGTTAGAAGCAGATAGAGACTGGGATTCTCTTAACTGGGTTTATGAAGAGGACTAATTAGCAGTCATCCCACGGTCCACTCCAGGTCATCTAATATGGCCGGTCCTAGCCATAGGAGATGGTCTAAATTTAAATTAATTAGAATTAAAGAAAACTTAAAATCCACTTCTTCAGTTGCACAAACCATACTTCTAGTACTTGACGGACACATGCAGCTAGTGGCTATGCTCTTGAACAGTGAAGAAACAAATATTTTCATCATCACATAAAGTTCTGTTGGGCAGTGTTATCCTAGGAACTGGCCATGGGAGTTCATGATAGCACTCATAATAAGATCTTGGGCAAGATCATTGCAAGGTACTGGCTTGTCTGCACATACATGTAAACCACCAAGAATTGGAACAGGAGCAGCTCTGGAGAGAGTGACAGAGGTCCAGGAGCTCAGTTTTTCAAAGTGCCAAAGAGAGTAGGGTCAATGGACCACTGCTATGAGGTGACTTGTGGGCGAACACTAAAGTGAGGAGAGCATTAAAATGGTCTAGAGGGACCCTGAGGGAACAAGGAAGACTCCACCCCATGTTCAGGCTTCAAGGCCAACAAGAACGGTGGTGAAAGAGTACAGGGGCAACGATGTTTTTGAGTAAGATCCAGCTTCTGTAGGAAGAAGAATTGGAGAATTTTCAAAGATAACTAAGGGGTCAGGAGATCTTACTGATCACTGACCAAAGGTCCGAAGGCAGGGTTTCAGAAGACAGAGAGTAGTGGACAACGGGCTCAGAGAAGGAGCTGTGCAGAGCTTTGTAGCATCCAGGGCCCAGGAGATGAGAGAAGCCCTACAAACCAGAATTTGGTGTGGGGATCATATGAACAGGAATTTGGAGAACAGCGAGATTGATCTCTTTGCCCCAAAGTACCAACAGAGTGAGCTGTAAGTGCTGAAGGAGAAACAAGACTTTTTCCAGGAGCACAAAAAATTCTGGAAGATCCTCTCCACTTCCTCTTAAGATGAGATGAAGGCTCAATCATAGCTCAGAGCTCTGAGCACCTCTTGGAGGCTGGTGGAGGAGACACAAAGCCTGGGAAGTGTCCCACAGGGAGTATGGACTCCTGATTTCCTAAGCCCGCCAACTAGACAGGCTGTGGTGCTGAACTGTTCCTGGAGAGGGGCTTGCTGTAAACAGGATCCAAGCCTCAGGCCCAGGCCTGGGAGCCTGCCTGAGTGGAACCTGGGCCCAATATCCCCTTCCGGCCAACGTGCCCATCTTTAAGCTTTACACATTCTGTTGCATCTGCGTGGGAGTCTCCTCTCACTTCTCACAAGCAAGGACTGTCACCATCTGCTGCTTGACGATGCTCCTTTTAAATATTCAAGTAAGTGACTCTTCACTGATTTGGTCAAGCATTCACTTGGGAAACGTTAATGACAAGCCTTAAGAGAACAAATTGGAGAAACAAGAGTTCAAATACAAGTTCCGCCACTTACCAGTTGTACTTTCTTGGAAAATGCTTTAGCCTCTCTTCTGTAAAATGGAAATTAGCAATAACTTCCTCATAGGGCTGTGTGAAAAATAAATAGAATAGTCCAGCAAATCCATGAAAGTAAATGGTGCAGTCAAAGGCAGGCATTAGTCACTGTTAGTCACAGGTATCTTTTGCCAGGCACTGTGCTGAACGTCGGGGATACAAAAACTCGTGATCTAGCTAGGGTGACAGCATCTAAACCTATGCATTATAATTGTAATGTGATTAGCTAGGAGCTATTCTAAAGAATGGTACACGAATACTATTACAGTATCATGAAAGGAAGATTTCATGGTGCCTTGGGAGACAGGATGGTGTCCCGGGAGTGATATTTGGAAAGATCTTCTGATAAACAGGAGTCTGTTCCAGTTATCTTTGGTTGTTGTAGCAGAACCTCATAAATCAAGTGACTTATATACAACAGACATTTATTTCCCACTGTTCTGGAAGCTAGGAAGTCCAAGATCAAAACACCAGCATATTCAGTGTCTGGTGAGAATCCACTTCCTGCTTCATACGTAGCACCTTTTCCCTGAGTCTTCAGCTGGCAAAAGGGATGAGGAAGCTTTCAGGGTCTTGTTTACAAGACCACTGAGCCCATTCGCAATGGCTCCACTTCATCACTCAATCATATTCTAATGGGGATACACCTCCCAGCACCTTGGGGACTAGGATTTCCACATTTTTGGAAGGACAAACACTCAGTCTGTAGCAATATTATTATTCTCCAGATGGAGAAAAGGAGCAATGCTATTATTCTTGAGAGTGAAGGGACAATGTCATACCTTGACACAGTATGGTATGTCTACAAAGCTGGGGGAGCCATAGTGACCAGAGTGGAGAGCATGGTGACCATGAGGTGTGAGAAGTTGATGGCCACCTATGAGGATGGGTGTCTACCTCACCAGCCCTTAGACCTGACCTTGAGGGTCATGGGCAGTCATGGTCAGGGTTTAGGATGGAGAGTAGCTCAGAGGAGAAGCCATACTGCAGGCGGTGGAGAGACCATCCAAGCAGCTGTTGCTCAAATGCAATTAAGACAAGATGAGGACCTGCACCAGGGCATTGCCAGTGTACATTCTGCTGTGTATAAAGTATACCTCATTTAACTCGATTAAAAATTAGATTGTTTGTCATCTATTTGATTTCAGAGTTTTTTATTGTTTTCATTGATATTTCCCCAAAGGGCCTATTTCCTGGAACAACCATCTGGAGACACACACCACTGTGTCAATTTCTGATGGCTTCTGTTTCAAATGAACGTGTATTCAGTAGCTTAAATGCCAGCTTTGCAGTAGGCACACTGGACTGGCTTCCTATGTGGGCAAGGTGAGCAGGGCTCTGGGGGAAGATTTCTTTCCTGGCCTTGTCCCCCTTCCAGAGGCACCTGTAGCCCTTGGTTCACAGTCCTTCTCTCATCTTCAAAGTCAGCAGCCATATCACCCTGACCTCTACTTCCGCACTTTGGTCTCCTTGCCCAACTCTCACTCTTCTACCACCCAGAAAACCCAGGACAATCCCCAGTCTCCAAGTCCTTGCCTGAATCACATTGCCAAGGGGCTTTTACCCTGGAAGAACATTCACAGGTTCTGGAGATCGAGGTGGTGTCTGGGGAGCGGGGGCTGTTCTGCTTACAGCTGCAGGTTTTTACTATAAAGTAGAGGAATGGATAATAACCCTAGGGAAAATGCTGGGGCTAAATAAGACTATAAAAGATTTAAACCTCTTTGGGTAAACAATAGGCAGAATTTATTGCTTTTAAATTGATATATTCATGTATTAAAATTTGAAAGCGGTCATAGGATATTTTTCAAAACTCCCCTTTTCAGATGCTGAGCAGGGAAACTATGCCATGTCTAGATTCCTGACCTACAGAAAGTGGGAGGCAAACTGTGTTCACTGAAGCCCCTAAGTATATCACAGTTTATTATAAGAACATCCCTCCACGAGTAATGCTATCTGTATGGGCAAGGATTGCATCCGCATTATCCTCACTGTATCCCCGGCATCTCACATTGAACCAGCACAGAGTGAGTGTTCAACAAATATATGTTAGATGAATGACTGAATGAGGGACTGTGCGCCATGCTTACAATATTCACAACCACTCCATAAAGATTATTTTAATTAATATTTTACTAAGAGAGAAAAGATAAGTGATGCATTTGAGATGCACACAAAAAGAGGATAGGACTGAAACTAACATCTCCCAGGACAAAAATCACAAGCCCCACTCAAACCTTAGCAGTATCATTTCCCTCACCTACACCCACACAAGACAGCACCAGCCAATCCACGGCAGGCTTAGCCACGTCCATCACAGGCCTTGGTGGGCACTCAGCAGCCACAGTCACTAACCACATCTGGCCCAGGAGAGCAAACTGATT